GGGGCCCCTGTGTCCTCTTTCGGGGGGCTTGGTGTCAGCTGCAAGGACGAGGTGTCTACCGGTTCCTTGATCACAGTGATGTCGATCTCCATGTCCTGCCTGCGGGCCTCCTCCTCTCGCAGGACCGCCAGCCTGCAGAGCAAACACGGCAGCTGGCTCCCACTCTCCACAAGGGAGCTTCCCACAGAAACACGGGGCCCTGGTGATGAGGTCAGGTAAGCCCTGGACAGTTAACTGCAAGGTCAATAGTTCAAACCCACCCCAGCCTCTCCAAGGGAGAAAGACGAGCTGTCTGCTCCTGTAAGGTTTAGAAATCCTCGACTGACTCGGTGGCAGTGGGCTTTGCCTCAGTTGAAAGGTGGCAGGTGTCTTGACTCTGGCAACAGGTTCCCACGGTTTCTGGTGGAGAGCTGTGCTTGGAGCTCTCGGTGGCTGGTTTTAGGGAAGTGGATCACCAGGCTTTGCTTCCAAGTCACCTCTAGGGTGGGTGAACTTGAGCACGTGGCCATCCACGCCACCCTAGGACCTCAGTGCTCCACCAGACAGTCAAAATAAGAGTCCCCAGAGCCAAAGCCCATTGGCTCTGGAGTGGCGTTGAATTTAAACCACCTCTGTCTTTACTTTTCCCTTTAATGGGGTGGGGCCCTGGGCTTAAGAGGGCTTTAAAATGGTCAGCATTTGCCTGTAGGCCTGAGCCTTGACCGCTGTCCTCGGTGGTAAGTGACTAGCATGCGCAGGGCCTTGCTCTGGAAGCGTTGGAGAGCAGCTCACGTGAACCAAGGGCACAGACCCTCTGCCGTTGGGTCGGTGTAGACAGCGACCCTGTAAGACAGCAGAGCTGCCCCGTCTTTCTCCCGAGGAGGGGCTGGGGGCCTTGAGTCTGAACGTGACTGATGAAGGAAGGTGCCCCTGGTGGGGCTGGCGTTTGAACCTAGGCAGCCAGGCCCCTCGGTCTTGCATGGAGCCATGCCTTTGGTGTGACCCTTGGAGCAGAGACACAGTCGCCACCTCAGGTGGAGGACACGGCCCCCTGGCTATGGGATCACCTGGCCTCCAGCTCCTGGTCCTCCAGCTGCCTCTGCTGCTCTGCCGTGGCGTGACGCAGCCGGTTCTCCTTGACCTTCTCCTTCAGCGTCTCTTCATGCTTGTACGCCTGGAAGAGCGTGTTCACAAAGAAGATGTACAGGTGGCTGACCCACGTGTTGAGTTTCTCCTTCTGTTCGTCCTTGGGCTTGTCCAGTTTCTCTGCAATAGAGTTTGCGACGTGTGTCAGTGCCACCCTGTGCCTGGCAGCCGGCTCTGCCTCCCCGCTGCTGAGCGCGGTCTCTGAAAAAGAGCCATGAGGTGTTTGTTCCCTGCAGAGCCCGCCGAAGCCCCCCTCCCCAGATAAGTTTTTGGGCACATGCTACCCCCTGTTGGTCTCAGGTGGTGGGGCTGGTCCAAGAATGCTAATTCATTCCTGCTATTAACATTTTCTTAGAAAATTGTTTGTTTCAAACATTGTAAATCTATCGGCTCGGAGTGGTGCCCGCTCTGCCTTCCGAACGGGAATGTGCGTTCTGAGCCACTTTGCCCACCAGGTGGCGGGGGCCTGGTTCACTGCCCTGCCCACGTCCAGGCTGTCCTGCCTCTGGGGACTGCCTTTTCTTAACAGCCGGATGCCTCCCTGGCTGTGGTTCAGTCGTAGCTAAGCTGTCTGTGTCCCAAGTGTTGTTTCAAGTGCAGTTTGATTTGAGGTGTGTGTGTGTGTGTGTGTGTCTGCATCGTGAATTTCCACGCCACTGAAGGATGATGTCCCTTTAAAGTCAACGTACCTTGCCCGTCCTTGAAGGGCATGCTCTCGTCACACGGCGGCGGCCCCACGTCGTATTTACTGTCGAGCTTGTAGACTGCCTCCGAGTTAGTTGGGGGCGTTGAGCTGTTATCGAAGGTGACGCTGCGGGCTGACAAATTAGGTGTTGAATGCATCCGTTTGCCGACAAATAGCATGTGCTCTGGGTCCTTCGAAAGGAAGGCTTTCCAGGTGAGCTGTGTACCATGTCATGGCGTCCGTAGACAGGCGGGAGCCCTGGTGGCAGCACGGTTACACACTGGGCTGCTAACTGCAAGGTCAGGAGTTTGAAAACACCGGCCGCTGCTCAGGAGAAAGACAGGGCTTCCTACTCCTGGAAAGTCGTAGTTTTGGAAACGCACAGGGGCGGTCTACCCTGCCCTCCAGGGCTGCTGTGAGTCGGCATTGATAATTTGATGGCAGTGGGTCTGAGGGGGCTTTTAAAAGCTCGTGGCAACAATTGAATGAACAGGTGGCATCCTTCCACCCACTTTTTTGTACCCTCTTGTGTCCTTGTCTCCAGGCCTTTCAGAGGCTCCTTTGGAAAGATGCTGTCGCGCCTTTTGCTCCCAGAGAGCTTCCCTGTGGCTTCACCAGAGTCGAGAGCAGCAGCGTCAGCAGGGCCCGGGCCCGGCTCGCTCGTCTGCCCTTCTGTACGTCTTTCAGAATGGACCGGGCAGCAGCAGGCTGTCCCAGGGACCCCGCATGGTGTGTGTGTCATTGTGTGTAAGCCGAGTGAGCATCAGAAGCCAAGGGGTGACACTGGAGAAAGTGTGTAGCCGCCCCAGAGCCCTCGGCACAGCCCACCCCATGTGTTGTGTGCGTCCTGGTGCACGGAGGGCTGTGCTGGCCCGACCGTCACCTGTGACCGGAGAGGTGGGCGGGCAGAGCAGAATGAAAACACGTGGGCTCAGAGACACAAAGGGAGCACAGGCTGCTGGGAAGACGCTCCCCGTGGGTCCCCCAGACCTGCAACTGGTTAAAAACAAACAGCTCCACCAAGGGCAGTGACACGAGCTGTGCCCGATGGTGGCAGCACCAGCCCAGGCAGAGGGACGGCAGGGCAGTGCCCATCTTCTCCCCAGCGCCCCTCCAACTGTGGGAAGCCGCTAGAATTCACCTCTTGTTTCACAGAGCTGCTCTCCAGCCTCCCCCTGGTTTGGCCGAGTGAGCATCTGAGGCTGGGCAGCACCCTTGTAAAAGGAGATGGAGGTGAATTCTAGAGGGCGTGCTGGGCTGATAACCTTGAGGTTGTTGGTTTGAGCCTCCCAGCCACGCCTTGTAAGGAGTGTCAGCCCTGCTCCATCCTGCAGGGCTCGGTGGCGGCAGTCTGTGAGCATTAAGGTTCATCATTAAGATACTCACCAATTTGAGATGAGAACAGAGAGATCCCTTTGGCTGCAGGTTTAAAACTAATTCTGGAAATTTTTTCTTCACTTGTAGACATCTTGATCTTGTTCTTTAAAAACAAAACAAAGCAGAATTGTTTCTGCCTCATTATGTATGAAAATGTCTTTTGTACCCCACAAGCAATCAGGAACATTGTACCAGCGAGGGAAGGGTCTCCCATCACCACATCCACGGGAGGCTCTCCGCAAAGCCTGACGAGTTGAGCAACTGTACTGGGTCCACGGCTACCCAAGGCACAGTGGGCAGAAGGCCTGGTGAAGCACTTGTGGAAGATCAGCCCCTGGACAGTCCCTCGCCATGAGGTTGGTGAAGGAGGCGAACTTGAGAATACAGAACCATCAGCCCCTGACAACTCCACGGAGCTACAGGGCCCCGGGGGGGTTGGGCGGGCACCAGGGGTTTTTCGTTTGCCCCGGACCCCCCCCGGGGGTTTTTTTGGGTTGGTTGCGGGGTTTTCTGGCCCCAACCGGCGGTTGCTTTTGACTTGTTTTCCTGGCCGGGCTTCAGGGGGAGGTGGGGTTGTTTTTTGTTTTGTTTCCTTTCCCCCCCCACTTACGGTGCGGCTCTGCTCCCTCAGTAACCAACAGGCGTCACCATGGCCAGCGCGCTCCCGGACTGTCCCCACTGCCTCACTCTTACTGCCACGCCCCACCTGAGGGCCTTTGCACAGGACAGCCTCCCTGTAGAGGACTACTGGTCTGCCGCCTGCTGATACTGGTGTCACCCGGCTTGTAGTGTCATGGAAACCAGTCTGAATCTCGGGATCCCGCTGTCTGGGTACCAACCCAAGCTCCGCCAGCGACCTTGGGCAGGTTACTCGGTTTCTCTGGGCCTGGGCTCTCCGAGAGGCAACTGCCCTGCATCAGGAGCTTGTGGGGCGTTCAATGAGCAGATACCCCGAGTGGTTACGCTCGTGGGCGTGGGGTCACCTGTGCATACAGACCTCAGGCTTCCTGGTTTTCCTCATGTCCAGCAGGATCCCAGACGACATGGAACCGGTGAAATTGATGATGTCAGAGTCGTGGCTGGTGCTCGGACTCTTATTGTGAATGCTCTGCGCAAAGACACACACACACGGTTGGGTTTCAGAAGAAGCATGCAGGTACATGTGTCTTTGTGTGCTTTTTACAGATGGCAGGTCGGCAGCCGCTCCCGCCGTGTCTCTGTTCCGGGTTGGTCATGCTCACGACACTTTGACGTCTTCACACCTTGACTGTGCTCCAGACTCCCCAACTCGCTGATTCCGACTCACAGCCACAGAGCGGAGCCACCCCTGGGGGTTCCCAAGACTGAAGACGTCAGCAGAGACGAAGGCCTCGTCGTTCGCCACCGGAGGACTGGTGGGCTGGAGCGTGGCCCTTGTGATGAGCACTCCAAACCAAACTCCCCGCCAGTGACTCACAGCACCTCTGCAGGACAGAGTAAAACTACCCCGGACAGAGAGACACGCAGGACGCGGGCCAGGGTCCCTGAAGCACATGTGTGGGTGTTGGCCACTGTCAACCCACACGCAAGAAAACATTTCCCTCGCGGGTTGACAAGAGCCACAGCAGGGTGTTAGGGCCCGCCCCTCCCACGCAGCCCGTCGCTCCTGACCTGGTTGGCCAGGGTCTGCGTGCTCCCGTATCTGTGGGCCAGCAGCTCCTCGTTGGCCAGGTAGGATCTGGTCATCTGCTCCGTTATGGAGATGGTGGCAAAGCTGAGGAGCGCTTCGAAGAACTCGAGGAACACCAGCTGTAACGGAAGGACCCCGATATGCGGGGAAGTTCAGGTTCAGGGAGCCCTGTGTCTGTTCTCCGGGGAGGATGAGGCACCCGGGAGAGAGGACACATGGCAACATTAGCATTCGGAGATGTGTCTGACAGGAGTGTGACTTCTAGGAAAGTATCAGCGAAAGAAACGTGAGCTGAAGTACTCACTTACCAAAAAACACACTAGTTTCATAACCTGACCTCATTTCCCAAGGTCCAAAATGTTCTTTTGAGTACCGACTCAAACTTTTCTAATATAATCAAGAATATGGATACAAAGGGGGGGGCCTTCAAAAATATTTTTTAAATCTCTCAATTCCGTTTTCCATGAACTCACTTTTGCACAGAAAACATGCCCTTCCTACACTTGTTTCCTAACTGCCCCCTCCCTCCGGATGCTTCTGTGAGCGTGCAACGCTCATTTCCTACGTGCCTTGTGAAAGACCAGCCGAGCGGTACCTAGGGAAATCTCATGGGGGGAGGGGAGCTGTTAGTAAACAAATGTCGAAGATCTATTTGTGTCCAAACACCTGCTTTCATCCAGTTTGGTTAGGATTCCTTCCAGTGAAACGGTGGTCCCTGGCCTCCAACCAGCCCAGAACGCAGCGCCTGCGTTGGCTGCTTCCTTACCAACCTCGAGCTCAAAGTTGCTGTCGACGCCATCGTAGATGAAAGGATTCTCCTTTGCTAAGACTTCCACAAATTTTGTCGCGGTCAACTCCTTGTTGATCATTTTAAAGTCCTGTGAGAAATGACTGGTCAGCCCACAGCTGTGCATTTTGGATGGCACAGTCTCTCCTGACCAAACTTGAAGGAAATGGGGCAGAACGTAGTGGATCCTCTGGGAAAGCATTCCGGGTGATTGTGGGGCTGGCCTCCACGGCCATCCCTTGCTCTGCAAGGAAATGGAGCACACAACAAGATGGCGCCCGAGGCGGTGCAGAAAGTAGACAAGGAAGGGGAGGACAGAGCTCTCAACCCTGTGCCGCCATCCTTCAATCCTGACCTGCACTTACCCCTGTGGCTCAAACTTCAGACCAACTGCAGCCAGGCCTGCAAGGAGCTACACTCACTCCTTAGAACAATCAGCCCGAGGAATGGAGGCCGGCAAGGGGGGAGAGGAGGAGGAGGACTGTTGGCTGGGGGTGAATCAATGGCCTAGAACAAAAAGTGTATGGATTGTTGAGTGGCAACAGGGTTTGCTGTCTTCTTTCCTCCAAAGCACAGTAAGACCTGGTAAACGTAAATGTTGACGCTTGAGTCCCAGAGGGAGGAAAGAGCAAAAACAGCTCAGGAGCCCCCGCTCCGTAAGCAGTGAAGACCATCAGGCCACTCTCAGCCTCGCTGATGGGCCACCCCGTGCCCTGGATGCTGGAGCAGTGTTTCCCACAGTGGTAGGCCACGTTTGGGAAGTTCTACCCAGAGAGTACACAGAAGAGCTGTGGCTGAATTAAAAAAAAATCTGGGATGAATTTTAACCCTCTAACCAACAGTGTGAGGATTCAACCTGCCCAAACTTCAGGCCACCGTCCCAGCCTGGAGGGGAATGTGTGTGTGCGTGCACCCGGCGCCGTCGGCCTTGGGGGCTAGGAGAGGTCAGAGGGAGCCCCACCCTGTTTGTTCACATCTGAGAACACGGGGAGCCTTGTGGAGTTGTAGGGAGATTCCATTCTCTTCATGAAAAGGGAGACCTTGGACCCAGCACAGGCTCTGCCCCAGCCCCGCAGGAAAGGAAGTCACTGAGGACTTGCTTCCCCCATGCAGGTGGCAGTGATGTGGACACCGGACTGCCGTCCGTGACGGGTGCAAAAATGCGATGAGAACGCGTGCGGGAATTAGTGACGAGTTGTCAGCACTGGCTGTTGGAAAAGCGTCGCCTGAGGCTTGCCGTGGAGTGGGCTGTGAACCTTCCATTGGCTAAAAAACAACGCCATCCGGTGGGGATCCAGCCTCCTCGAACCTGCCCCTCAGATCCTGAGGCTGCCAGCTCTGGGCACGCCTCACCTCAAAACAAAATTCCCTGGGACCATTCACTTCAAAAGCTTTGGCTGGAGTCAAAGCCTAAGGGTCTTGTTGGCAAGCCCTGTGTATACAGTGCTGTCACATTGTTAGTGTTTGTTCTAACACCGATCCAACCACCACCACCTGAGCTTGCCTGCCTCACCCTTCCCGTTTCCCCCAAAGACGAACTTGAGAGTCACCCAGGTGAACCACACCCTCTGCTATTCCCCACGTGGGGGCTCCCTCCGTGTGCATCAGTGACGGTGCTGGCGGCCCCGTCCCCTCGGCTGGGACCACAGGCACCAAGTCCTCCCATCCTCAGGGGCCAAAGCAGCCCGTGGCAAGCCCACACAGGACAGAGAGGCTGCCCGGTCAGAGTTCGTTGCTGTGAGCTTTGCGGAAACAGATTGCCAGGCTCTTCTGGCACAGCGGCTCGGGGGGCGTGGAAGCCACCAACCTGTGGTCCAGCCCTCGAACAGCTTGCCCCACTCGGGGCTTGTTTCCACCGTCGCGGGCCATTTGAATTACTACCTCACTTCCTTTTCTTCAGCGAGGGACCTAGCGCACGCACGCACCGAGTGGCTATGAAAACATGCATTCCCTGACCTCACTGGCGTATCAGAATGCCTCAGAATAAAACCAGTATCACAAGTAAGAGATTACTTTCAACATCCAGAGGAAGTATCTCATCTTCATGGTCGGCTCCCCTGGGGGGAGCTCGTTTGGTCTGCAGTAGATGACGTAAATTTCCCAGCACTTGTCGATGTAATTCATGGAGTAGAGCGTCCGCTGCTGCTCACTGAATAGGGTGCCTGAAAATAACGGGGGGAAGGGTTTGTGCTCATGAAGATGGCATGTAGAATTTGGCAGCAGTCCCCACAATAACCCAAAACTGCACCGTCGCATGCATAGATCCATGTATATGCACATGTGTATGTAGGGAGGCACAGATGTGCACAGAAGTATCTTTGTACAGATGCATATACGTGTGTGTCCATGCAAATCTAGACAAGACAGTTACAGATACTTCTCAGATCACAACTACACATCATACAAGAACAGTTCTCTGGGTTTGAGGCCTTAGTCCTGAGTCTCGTGGGACAACTCAGTCCACTGGCGCCACTACGTTCCCTTTTTACATCCTAGTTGAGTAGGTATGGGGTCTTAAACGCTAACTAGCAACCATCTAAGATACAATTGTTGATCTCAAAAGAAGAGGAGGAAGCCAATGAGAAGGAACTAGGCCCCACGCCAGTGACCTACTTAAGGTACAGCCCCATCTGTCCAGAGACAGGAGAACTAGATGGTGCCCAGCTGACCAGCCCCAGCCCTTTCGATCAAGGCCACTAGGTAAGCCCTCCCAGACAGAATGGGAGTAAACAGAATAGGATTCAAATTCTGAAAACCTAGACTTCTCTTCAAACCTTGAACCAAAACCACCCCAAAGTCTCCTTTCAGCTCAATAAAAGATTGGCACCAAAATAAAGGACATCCCCTGGGCATACGGTGCACTGAGTATATGAGACCAAACAGTCCACAGTTACTGTAAAGCAAAGACCAGAGGGCAGGGCAAATGAGGCGGAAGAGCAATGGTGGAATTTAAGAGAATGCCGACACGACACGTGGTGGGAAGTACAACCCACGTCCCTGAACCGCTTGTAGAGGGTGTCGGATGGGAACCCACTTGGCAAAGAGACGGCGTTTCCACAACCAGGGGCACGGGCCCGTGGCGTTTGTGTTTACCTTGCACGCGGCAGGCGTTTGGGTGAATGTTCTCAATCATCAGCTTGGTGAAACACAGGAAGAGCGAGGGGCTTCTATTTCTGGGATTAAGAAAGAAGTCTAAATTCTCCCTCCACCTCGAGAGCCAGACACCAAATCCATCCAATCTGTACCCAACTCACAGTGACCCTTACTCAGGGTTTCCAAGACAGTCAATGTTTCCTCTTTCTCCCTCCAGACAGCTGACCTTGACGTGGGTAGCCCACAGTGCCACTCGGGCTCCTCTGCTGCCTCCAGTGTGGGCCAGACTGGTGACTCAATGCCAACACAGCCCAAGACGAGACAAAGGATCCCTGGTGGCACAGTGGCTAAACACTCAGCTAAGTGAAAGGTTAGCAGTTCAAACCCACTAGCTGCTTCCAGAGAGAGGGAGAGAGAGCGGTGGCAATCTACTTCCATGCGGGCTTGGAAACCCTAGGGGACAGTTCTACTGTCTCATGGGGTCGCAGAGAGCCCAAACGAACTAGATGGCAGTGGGGGTGGTATTTTCTGCCCGTGTGTAGTTGGAGAAGGACGTGGCAGTCTCCAGCCTTGGACGTGGCTTCTGCATCAAACCCTAAGTGCTGTCGGCCTTACGGGAACAACAGCTCGGCAGGGCCTGGGCTGCCCTCGTTTCCTTGGGCTCTGACCCCCGACGCTTCACGGCTGGGGCCCCACAGCCTGTGCTCACTTCCTGTCTCCGTGACCCACCTCGCCCCCGCTGGTGGCCCTCACAGCATCTCAGACTTTTCCACGGGTGTCTGTCTGTCATTGCATGCGTCACGGGGTCTAGTCGGAACCTGACTTTGATGAGGGGGACTTCAGAGAGTTTGTGGGGAAATTCCATGCTCTTCCACGTTCCATTGTTCCCGAGAATGTTTCAAAACCCTCCCCTCTCCCCGTCCCCCGCCCCACCCAATACACACACTGGGAAATAAAAAACTCGCGAGACTTGCTCGACAGCTGTCTTCGTGTGAGGGTGAAGGCCTAGCGCCAAACCTGTGATGGTACCCGGGAGGCTTGGCGTAGGAAGCTTTTGTTCCCAGTGCTGTTTCAAGGGTAGGAAGGATGGGGAGGATGTGCGGAAGACGCAGTGACCACGGTACAGTACGAGCTCCCCCACATTGCTCAAGTCAGGCACGTGGTACTTACTGGTATTCCTTGTGCTGGATGTGATAAGCCAGCAGCAGGAGATAATTCAGAAACGTTCTCAGGAGGATCGTTGTAAACGGAGAGTGGGTTTCTTCCACCGGTATGTCGTTATTGGCTGGGTGAGAAAATTGAAGAGGCTGCTTCATATGTTAGCCTTCTGTGTACTGGCTGGTCTCCGTTCTGGGAGCTACTCTGGAAGAGGGTTTTTGTCCCAGAGGACCCCTCAAGAGTCGTATCCACAAGCTGCCCACAAAGCAGGTGTCAGAAACGAGGTCTCCCGCTGGCCTGCTGACAAGAAACAAGCCTCGACCCCCCATTTGGGGGTTTGCTTTTTCCCCCCCCAAAATGATCTGAACTACAATTTGACTCACATTCTAATTCTCATGGATTTTATGTTTCCAACAGTCCAAGTCAGCTGGGACTTGTTCATATCTTATTTATCAGGGAAACCATAACCTGTCCAAGGCTATTCCAAGGCCTCCTGATCCTCTGCTTCCAACCTGACAATGCGGTGCTGTTCTTTTTTTTTTTTAACATTTTATTAGGGGCTCATACAACTGTTATCCCAATCCATACACACATCAATTGTGTAAAGTGCATTGTACATTGTTTCTCAAAACATTTTCTCTCCACTTAAACCCCCGACATTAGGTCCTCATTTTTCCCCTCCCTCCCCGCTTCCCCCTCCCTCATGAGCCCTTGATAGTTTATAAATGGGTATTTTGTCATATCTTGCCCTGTCCGACGTCTCCCTTCACCCACTTTCGGTTGTCTGTCCCCCAGGGAGGAGGTCGCACACAGTTCCATGTAATCGGTTCCCTCTGTCCTACCCACTCTCCCTCTACCCTCCCTGTTTCGCCCTCACATGTGGTGGTGCTGTTCTTGTCCTTTTCCTTCACTGCCCATGGGGCAGCCAACATGCTCAGGACCAAATCTCTCTCAACCCTTCAGCTGGGGCTACACAACCAAAGCAGCCACAGGCCATGCATAAGCAACTGGGTATGACTGTCTCAGTACAAGTTTATTTACAAAGAACAGATCACCTCATTGTTCTCCCTCGGAGCAGTTGGTAGGTTTGAACAGCCAACCCCGAGCCTTACCTGACCAGCACCACTTGGGCTCCCTTATTTACAAAGAACAGGTGGCATTTAGCTCTGGGCTGGTCTTTACTGACCCCTAGAGGATTGGCATTGACTGGGTGGCAAAGGGTTTGGTTACTTGGCTAGTGCCAGTTTCATGGGAGTCTTTGGGTGGTGCAGTTAGCATGCTCAGCTGCTCACCCAAAGGTTGGCAGGTCAAGCCTACCCAAAGGTGCCTTGGAAGATGTGGGATTATAAAGAGACTTTTCCCCAGCTCTGTCTCCCCCCAAAACATGCCAAACATTAAGGGCTTTTTGCTAGCATATGTGGGGAGGTCAGATGCTTACAGACATCCTGGAGGCAGTCAGTCACCAGACTGTGGTAGACCCCGCTCCCTGCTGTTAAGGACAATGGGCTACTTCTCTCTAAAGGCCTGCAGTCATTGATTTTGTTCCTGTAGGTGGAGTTAACACCCTACCAATAATGGTCTCTATCAGTTGAGCCAGGGAACAGGTCAAACCGGCTCTGTGACATCCAAAGTTAGGCTGCCACCCTGAATGGAGGATCCGCCCCCCTTCTTGCCACATGTATACCCCCAATCCCTCCTCTTCCTATTGTGTGGATACCTCTAGACTACCCCCTTCCATTACTGTATTACCTATAGCACAACCCTTTCCTGTGACATATGTCTTCACCTGTAATTAGGGGCCTTGCATGTCCCCAGAGAATAACAGCCTTGGTTAGCATTAAATCTCTCTCTCTCTCTCTATCCATGTGGACCACCAAGTGAGGCTGAGGTGAGCATTGCTACCATGACTTGTGTCTGCCTCCATTATTTCTATCTCTCATGCTCTTTATGACTTTACTATAATCTTTACTTATTATCGCTGTACAATTGCGCCTACCGGACCGTGATGATGTGCTAGGGGCCGGCTTCCCCTTGCATATGGCGCCCATTATGTGGAACATTGTAGGAAAAGAACTCTTTTGAGTTATCTGCCGGGTAACAATTGTACAGCCTCATCAGACAGTGAGGGTGAATCGGGGGGAAAAAATTCTTAGAGTTTATTTTTTTAAGTGTTTTTTTCAGCCCAAGTGAGATATGGGTCAGGCAAAGAGCAAGGATACAGAGTACGGTATCACGCTTGGCCACCTCTTGAAGAAACAAACTGTAGTGGTAACGAATAGAGAATGAAAGAGGTTCTTCAAGAGGTAAAGAAATGTAATCCTAATTTTTCAGAGGCAGGAACCTTTGATGTGGAGCTCTGGGATAAGGTAGCCATTAACTTGAGAAAAGCTCACAGGGAAGGACAGAGCACACCCACGGAGGCCTGGGAGCTGTGGGTGCAGATTCAAGCAGTGTGGGAGCCGCTGCAGGTGGTGAGAGAGCAAAGGACCAAGACCAGCAGAGCAGTGGGAGCCTCTAAGCTACGCAGACTTAAGTCAGGTGAGAAGCAGGCAGAATGAGTATCTGGCGGATGAGAAGATGGTAGGCATTGCTGAGAAAACAGTCTGAGTTAGAAGGAAGCAGCAGAGTAGAAGCATCTGCCCCGCCAGAGCATGGCGCGTGATGATGTGTTAGGGCAGGTACCCCGACAGGAAGAGAGGTCTGGGATGCAATTCGGAGAAACCAGCCACTGGGAACCCAATGGGGCACAGTTCTCTGATAGGGGAGGGGGCTTGGGGGGGGGGGGTTGTCCTGAGCCAGTGTTTCCTCAACTGCAACGGGTGCTAGTTCATGAGCCTGCTGCGCCCCTGGAGAACAAGCACAGGTGCATTTCTAGAACGCCTCTCCCTCACCTTCCCGGACCACTCACCATGGAGCAGCCGGTCCATGTCAGCAAGCGTTAGTTGATGGTGGTGGAATTTGCAGTCTTTCAGGAATCTCCAGAAGTGGAGCTTGGTCATCAGAAAGGTGTTGTCCAGGGAGTGGTCACACCCGAGGCTGCTGTAAAAGCTGTAGATCTGTCGCAGCTCCGTCATGTTTCTCAGGATGGCAAACTCCACCTGGAGAGGGGAGACCACGCGGTCAAGTCAGGGAGGCAGCGAAAGGAGGAAGACCCTGGACAAGACGGACGGACACAGTGCATCGATTTCCCCCCCAGGCTCCAGAGACTGGCACCCTAAGGAGGGGCTAAGGAAGGGCCGCTGCGACCCCATGCTCTTCTCTGTTGCTGCAGCTTATAACTGAGCCCATGCGTGATAGATACCGCCGGAAATCATGATAGAAAGGGACTTCTTTCACTGGTAAACAGTATGTGAGGGAGTGCGCACGCACGCGCACACACACACACACGGTCCACATCTACTTACTGCCCTAAGTCTGAGGTGCACGGGCAACCTTATTGCTCTCCAGGGCACATTTTCTGTCCCCATTGTGCCTTCCAGGGTTTCCCCACCCCTGCAGACTGCCTCACACCTCACCCGAGCCTCCATGTGGGACAGTAATGTCCCACTAGAGATGGCAAAGCCCCACCAGGGCAGCTCCCAGCTCCCAGCATGCACTGCTTTATAAGCCTCAGTTCACTGGAACATTCCCAGGCTGCCCAGCTGAAAGCCCTTTTCCAGACCAGAACACAGTCCCTGTCCTCGAGAAACTTCATTCTAGTTCTTGGTGGTGGCCACAGCACCCCCATGGGTCACCACAAGTGTCCCCGAGGGCTTTCCACCTTGGTGACGTAGTGGCTTGCAAGTTGACCTCGTAACTACAAAAGCAGTTCGAACCCATCAGCTGTTCCTCGGAGGGTGTCATTCTGGTCCCATAAAAATGACAGCCTGGGCAATCCAGCCCAACCCGCAGTGCCACCTACCAGCTCAATAATGGTTGTAAGCCTGGGCAGCCAAATTAGTGCCCGGCAGCGGGGGCGGCCGCTGGTGCTGAGACCCTGGAAACTCAACCCTCCCACTGAGCTTCCTTTCCCTCCTCACGCCAGCTCCCTCTTGGAGCCGCCTTGCAAACTCAAGGAGCCAGTGCATGCCAACTACCAGGCACGCAGTGCATGGCTGAAACAGGACAGCAGTCCCTGCTGCATTTTACCAGGGAGTCTCAGTGGCATAGTGGTTGTGCGTTGGACTGCTAACTGCAAGTTCAGCAGTTCGAAACCACCACCCACTCTGCAGGAGAAAGATGGGGCTTTCTACTCCACTCAAGAGTCTCAGACGCCACAGAGGCAGTTCTACCCTGTCCTACATCAACTCTGTGGCCAAGAGGTTTTGAGTCTGTAGGGCAGCGGTTCTCAACCTTCCTAATGCCGAGAATCTTCCTTTTTTTTTTT